AAATAAATAAATAAATAAATAATAAAACAAGGTAAACTTGATAGGATTCCCACCCTGTCTCTCTTGGTCACTTCTCAAAACATAAACCGCTAAGTTTTGCTTTTCTCCTGCCACCCTATCTCCATGCTCCTCTGTGCTTCTTCTCATTGTACCCAGTACCTACTGTTCTTTTCTCTCTTAAACCTCACTCTCTACTCCATTAGGGATTGAACTCATAGGCCTTGAGCATGCCAGGTAAGTGTTCTATCACTAGCTATATCCTTAGTTGTTTGTTTTAAATTTTTGTTTTTGAAACAGGAAGGGCTTCATTAAATGACCTAGGCTGGTCTTAAACTTGTGATTCTGCTGCCTCAGCTTTCTCAGTAGATGTAGTCACAGACCTGAGACACTATGCATGGCTGTCCCCAGTCCTTTCATTCCTTGCTGTCTACTCCTCAATCCTGGTATCAAACTCCCCAAAGGCTAAACACTGTAATTTTTTTTCTTGCTGCAGCACCGGGGATTGGCTCCAGGACCTTGTGCAGGCAAACTCTACCACTGAGTCACACCCCCAGAGCTACTCCGGTGGATTTTCTTCTGGCTCCTTTTCCTTGAACGAGATGTAATCTGCTGCTCCCACTCACAGAAGCAACTAACTGTCACGGTCACATACTAGATCTTACTAGACAAACTAGATGTTTGTCTTTGAAACATAAAAGTGCCCTCCTTATAAAAAGGCTACTGCTGATCATTTCATAAATGTCTTTACTGTTGTCATCAATGCTTTTTGCTATGAAATCTGGTAGATACCTCTTATTTCTTATCTGTGTAGCACTTGACATTGCTGACCATGTTTCTTTCCTAATGGCTCTCTCTTTTTTCCTTTGTTTCCTCACCCCCACCCCCCTGTGATTCCACAGTCTCCTAATTTTACTCCTATCTCTCTGGCTATTCATTTTATAGGCTCCACTACTTCTACTACTGCTTCTATTGCTATACCTCAGGACTGTACTCTTGACCTTCCCTTGACACTCCAGTATATATGCTCCCTTAGCATCCTTCCAACTGGCATGGCTTCAAGGAACTATCACAGGCTGATCATCTCAAAAACTTTATCTCTGACTCAGATCTCTTTTCTGAGCTTTAGATCTACATGGTCTAAATTTCATCTGAACATTCTGTAATTACCTCACTAGGCATATCTAAAATATAATTCACTATGCATCTCCACAATCCACCTTATTCCCGTTCCTCTATCTCAATGAATGGCGCCACCATCTATCTTTTAAAAAGCTGGAAAAGCCAAAGGTGATGGCACACACTTGTAATCCCAACACTCAGGAGGCTGAGGCAGGAGGCTCATCATGAATTCAAGGCTAGTTTGGGATACACAGTGAGTTCAAGGCCAGACTGAATTATACAGTGAGACCCTGTCTCAAAACAAACAAACAAACATACAAACAAATGCCATTAAAATCCCTGTTGATTCTTCCTTTACACATCAATTCTGGCTCAGTAATTGATCCCACATCTATCAGCTTTCCTGTGCTATCATCTCATAACTGTACCACCACTGCCTTTATTAGCCTCAGTGTCAAGGCTGGAGCCTACTAGACATTAGCACTGAGGGAATGGGCACAGGAAGAGAAGACAATTTACTACGTGAGGTGCTGTGAGGAAAGGGAAATAAGGAGAACATAGGGTCAAGAAAATTTAACATTTCCAAAGAAGTATTTTCCTCCTTTCAATATATTTGCCGCATTGTTATCAGAGTAAATCCTACAAAAGGAAACATCTGAGTTTATTCCTCCTTCTGTAAGACTATTCAATGGGTCTCCACGTGGGGTGACACTCTTAACATCATTACCATAACTTAAGCCTTTGGGACTTCTTTGCAAATCCTTTAGCCAGGCTTAATTTATTACACAGCATTATTCATAAATGTCCTGTGATAGCATTGGTATATGTTTTTATTTATTTATTTATTTATTTATTTATTTATTTATTTATTTATTTATTTATTTATTTTTGATGGTACCAGGGAAGGAACTCAGGACTTTGCGCTTGCAAGGCAAGCACTTATTCCACTGAGCTATCTCCACAGCCCTGAATAGATAGATAGATAGATAGATAGATAGATAGATAGATAGATAGATAGATATCCATAGAAATACAGTCCATCCATTGGCCAGCTCCGTGCTGGAGAGTCTGAGTCCCTCCCCTGTGTAGCAATGTTAAGTGCTACGCAGATAAGAAATAAGAGGTATCTACCAGATTTCATAGCAAAAGGCATTGATGACTATAGTAAAAACATTTATGAAGTGATCAGCAGTAATCTTTTTATAAGGAGAGGACTTTTATGTTTCAAAGACAAATAGTTCCATATGCTAGTAGTAAGACCTATTATGTGACCATGACAGTTAGTGGCTTCTGCGAGGGGGAACAGCAGACTACATCTCATTCAAGGAAAAGGAGCCAGAAGGAAATCCACCAGAGTAGCTCTGGGGGTGTGGCTCAGTGGTAGAGTGTTTGCCTGGCATGCACAAGGTCCTGGAGCCAATCTCTGCTGCTTATATTTCTGATATATAAGCACTCTGGAAAGTGCAAAGTCCTGAGTGCAAGGTCCCAAGACCCTGTAGACCCAGATTGGACCTCGTATCTTCTGTTTTTATGAGGAAGTCTCTTGAGGGCAGGAATCAAGTCTTCTGATCTTTCAATCCTTCCCATTATGTAGCACAGGGTT